AGAATGTCCCTCAAAGTCCATATCCTTGACGCTCACTTGGCTGCAGAATGTCCTCAAAGTCCATATCCTTGACGCACATTTGGCTGCAGAATGTCCCTCAAAGTCCATATCCTTGACGCACATTTGTTGCAGAATGTCCCTCAAAGTCCATATACTTGACGCACATTTAATTGCAGAATGTCCCTCAAAGTCCATATCCTTGACGCTCATTTGGTTGCAGAATGTCCCTCAAAGTCCATATCCTTGACGCACATTTAATTGCAGAATGTCCCTCAAAAGTCCATATCCTTGACGCTCATTTGGCTGCAGAATGTCCCTCAAAGTCCATATCCTTGACGCTAATTTAGTTGCAGAATGTCCCTCAAAATCCATATCCTTGACGCTCATTTGTCTGCAGAATGTCCTCAAAGTCCATATCCTTGACGCACATTTAGTTGCAGAATGTCCCTCAAAGTCCATATCCTTGACGCACATTTGGCTGCAGAATGTCCTATTGTCCATCCATATCCTGACGCTCATTTGGCTGCAGAATGTCCCTCAAAGTCCATATCCTTGACGCTCATTTGGTTGCAGAATGTCCTCAAAGTCCATATCCTTGACGCTCATTTGTTTGCAGAATGTCCCTCAAAGTCCATATCCTTGACGCTCATTTGGCTGCAGAATGTCCATAAGTCCATATCCTTGACGCTCATTTGGTTGCAGAATGTCCCTCAAAGTCCATATCCTTGACGCACATTTAATTTGCAGAATGTCCCTCAAAGTCCATATCCTTGACGCTCATTTGGTTGCAGAATGTCCCTTAAAGTCCATATCCTTGACGCTCACTTGGCTTGCAGAATGTCCCCTCAAAGTCCATATCCTTGACGCTATTTTAATTGCAGAATGTCCCTCAAAAATCCATATCCTGACGCTCTCTTGGCTGCAGAATTTAATCAAATGTCCATATCCATATCCTTGACGCTCATTTGTTTGCAGAATGTCCTCAAAGTCCATATCCTTGACGCTTATTTGGTTGTCCCTCAAAGTCCATATCCTTGACGCTCTCAGAATGTCCAAAGTCCATATCCTTGACGCTTTGGTTGGAATGTCCCTCAAAGTCCAATGTCTGTAAAGTCCATATCCTTGACGCTCATTTGGTTGCAGAATGTCCATTAGTTCATATCCTTGACGCTCACTTGGCTGCAGAATGTCCCTCAAAGTCCATATCCTTGACGCTAGAATGTCCATTTGTCCATATCCTTGACGCTCATTTGGTTGCAGAATGTCCCTCAAAGTCCATATCCTTGACGCTCATTTGTTTGCAGAATGTCCCTCAAAGTCCATATCCTTGACGCTCATTTGGATGCAGAATGTCCCTCAAAGTCCATATCTTTGACGCACATTTAGTTGCATAATGTCACTCAAAGTCCACATTCTTGACGCTCACTTGGCTGCAGAATCCATATCCTTGACGCTAATTTGTTGGCAGAATGTCCCTCAAAGTCCATTTCCTTGATGCTCATTTGGTTGCAGAATGTCCCTCAAAGACCATATCCGTGACGCTCATTTGGTTGCGGTATGTCCTTTAGTTCATATCCTTGACGCTCACTTGGCTGAAGAATGTCACTCAACGTCCATATCCTTGACGCTATTTGGTTGCAAGAATGTCCCTTTTAGTTGCATTCAATCCATGACGCTCACTTGACGCTCCCTTGCCTCAAAATCCATGTCCTTGACGCTCGTTTGGTTGCAAATGTCCCTCAAAGTCCATATCCTTGACGCTCATTTGTTTGCAGAATGTCCCTCAAATTCCATACCGTTGACGCTCATTTTTTTTTACATAATATCCTCGAAAATCCATATATCTTGACGCTCATTTGGTTGCAGAATGTTCCTCAAAGTCCATATCATTGACGCTCATTTGGTTGCAGAATATCTCTCAAAGTCCATATCATTGACGCTTATTTGGCTGGAGAATGTCCCTCAAAGTCCATATCCTTAACGCTCATTTGGTTGCAGAATGTCTCAACTTCCATGTCCTTGACGTTCGTTTGGTTGCAGAATGTCCCACAAAGTCCATATTGACGCTCATTTGGCTGCAGTATATACGACAAAGTCTATATCCTTGAGGCTCATTTGGTTGCAGAATGTCCCTCAAAGTCCATATCCTTGACGTTCATTTGGATGCAGAATATCACTCAACGTCCATATCCTTTACGCTTATTTTGTTGCAGAATATACCTCAAAAATCCATATCTTGACGCTCACGTGGCTGTAGAATTCCCCTCAAAGTCCATATCATTGACGCTCATTTGGTTGCAGAATGTCCCTCAAAGTACATATCCTTAACGCTCATTTGGTTGGAGAATGTCCTTTAGTTCATGTCCTTGACGCTCACTTGGCTGCAGAATGTCCCTCAATGTCCATATCCTTGAAGCTCATTTGGTTGCAGAATGTCCCTCAAAGTCCATATCATTGACGCTCATTTGTCTACAGTATATACCACAAAGTCTATATCCTTGACGCTCATTTGCCTGCAGAATGTCACCCAACGTCCATATCCTTGACTATTATTTGCCTGCAGAATGTCCCTCAAAATCCATATAATTTGACGCTCACTTGGCTGTCGAATGTTCCTCAAAGTCCATATCCTTGACGCTTATTTGGTTTCCGAATGTCCCTCAAATTCCATATCCTTGGCGCTCATTTGGTTGCAGAATGTCTCTCAAATTCCATATCCTTGAAGCTCATCTTTATAAAGATGAGGAAGCCGAACGTTTACATCATGATATCAGTAAGTTATGTGCCACACGCATGTGACACATGCTTAGCCAATGAAATTCAATATCTGACTGACGAGGCAGATTTTTCCCTCTGTAGGTTGCAATTTCTCTCTGCGGTAGACTATTTGCCATGCAAGGCTATAGAACCCGGTCTGTTCTGCTATTTACCCATAGCTGGGAGAAGAATAGGATTCATACCTTTCCCAACATTATTAGCACGTAAGTGAATGTAACGGATTCGAGTGGAATTCGAAGTCGACTCTCCAGTTCCTCAATCCGAGCCGCTATCCATTACTCCACTGGACTTTAAACCTCGCTACCAAGGATCGTATAAAGAAAACATGATGGTAGACTATATTTGGGGTCTGAGTCTAGAAATTTACAGACAAACAGAAATCTTGAAATATTACTCGCTTCTAATTTTCTAATAGTCTCTCTTGCGTATTCCTAGAAGAAATAAATACTACTTTTGAATCATATGTCGTTTTGTCCCTACTTTGCGTGAACGACAATGTTCTTGTGTAATCCTAGAAGAAATAAATGCTACTTTTGAATCATGTCGTTTTGTTCATACATTGCGTGAACAAATGGAATTAGGTAAATTACAAGAACATCATTATTCTGATCACAAAAGCAAAGTTCAATAAAAATCTTAGCCATTTTCAATACTTTCTTGGCGTAAGCAGATAGGAAATGACAGTTGCTCGCCAAGGACAAAAATCGTATTACAAGGTGTAATAATAATAATAACAGTGAAATTGATCGTTTCCATACAGGAAATATTCATTATTCATTTACTGAAGATTTTCTATTACTGTCGGTTGGTGTTTATAATTTCTTTTTTTTTTGAAACGTACATCTCAAGTTCGCTGTTATATTTCCACTATTGATTATAATTTTCTTACTAGTCGTTTGCTTAAGGTAGTGCCGAAAATTGATATCTTGATTAATATTTTCCCTTCTAGTTACAAGTGCACCCCAGGAAAAGATGTGGCACACAGAATTTAAGTTGCATACGGAACATTTGGAAAGCTAATCAAACACGCCTTCAACAACAAAAATCTGAATTTAACAAAAATTATGGTCTACAATACTATTTCAACTTTGCTATATGATTGCGAAACCTGGACTCTATGTCGATGCGATACCTTTGACAAATATAAAACTAAATATATTAATGTACTAAATAGGATGTACTAAATAAGGGTAAACAGAAAATTAAACTAGAATGCATTCCAAGTATTAATAAGAATGCCAATAGCAAACGTAAGATTAGAAAACGCAAAATAAATTGGTTCAACCCACCTTTTAACAGTAATGACAAAACCAACATCGGTAGGATCTTCTTAAATTTAATGCACAAACATTTCAGCCATAAACATTTACTCAACAAAATCTACAATAAGAACAATTAAGATTAGTTACAGCTGCACTGGAAACCTTGAACAATACATAGCACAGCATAATAACGTAACGTTAAACAAATACATAAGCAACACCAATAGAAATATTAACACAGAAAAAAAGTGTAATTGCTGAAAAGACATCATCTGCCCGATGAACAACAAATGTATGTATAAAGGCGTCATCTATAAGTCTAGCATTAGGCAAAATTGCAAAACAAAATTTTATTTCGGTCCAACAACAAATAACTGGAAAACGAGATTTTACCATCAGAAAATGGCCCTTAACAATAAGCAATATGCAAATGCCACAACACTCTCAAGGTTATTACTGGGATATTAAAACAGATGGCTACTCACCGGTAGTAAATTGGGATTTCATCGCCAAAATTACACCCTTTTCCGACCGCGGCGACTGATGCATCCTGTGTTTGCTGGAAAAAAGATTCATCCTCAAAAATATTAATGAGCGAAATCTATTTAATAAAGGAAATGAGCTAATGTTAGGTTGTAATCACAGGGAGAAATTTCTCTTAAAATATTATAATTCTGGTTTAATATATTATCCAAATTTCGATTTTGCGACCCACATTTTAGGTTATATATTGATTATTCCACATGTCTTTATGACTTAACGTATTACCCGGCGTTCCTCTTTTAAACTTTAAGCTCGCTTTCTTTTCATTTTTTATTGTAATGGCCCCTGCCTACAGCCTATTTTCTGTATTTACACTACAATATTATATTTAACTTATTTTAAATTTAAGCTGTGAATCTGCGTATAATTTAGCGTTCCTCCCATGAGACCCAGTGTATATTTTTTAAAATCATAATAATGCGTTCCTATCTATCTATCTATCTATCTATCTGTATATCTATCTATTTCTGAGATGAGGTATTATGTACATTATTTACATTATTCAGACTATTGTCCTCATCTTTGTCGCCATATTTATGACAACGTTTCGGCCTCAAGGAAACATGGCACAGTGGATAAAGGCGTTGGGTAGATCCAGTGACAGGACCCAAACAGTGTGAGTTCAATACCCGGTTAAGGCAGTGGAGAACTTTCAGATGGAAATGAACAGGAGATAACTGATAACTGACATCCATTAAAGATGGCACGTAGAACTAGAAGAGTCTACCCCAGTGAGCGAAATAAAGGGTTAAGTTCGACATTCCAACCACCTTAAGAAGGCCGGAGCGTACAACGGCCGAAACGTTGTAATAAATATGGTGACAAAGATGAGGACAATAGTCCGAATAATGTAAATAATCTATCTATCTATCTATGTTTGTATCTAAATATATTTGATTTGCAATTTATCTATCTATCTATCTATCTATCTATCTCAGTCTGTTCATATCTATCTCAGTCTGTTCATATCTATCTATCTATCTATCTATCTATCTATCTATGTCTGTCCTTTCTTTCTTTCTTTCTTTCTTTCTCAGTTGATATCTATCTATCTATCTATCTATCTATCTATCTCAGTCTGTTCATATCTATCTCAGTTTGTTCATATCTATCTATCTATCTGTCTATCTATGTCTGTCCTTTTTTCTTTCTTTCTTTCTTTCTTTCTCAGTTGATATCTATCTATCTATCTATCTATCTATCTATCTATCTCAGTCTGTTCATATCTATCTCAGTCTGTTCATATCTATCTATCTATCTATCTATCTATCTATGTCTGTCCTTTCTTTCTTCCTTTCTTTCTCAGTTGATATCTATCTATCTATCTATCTATCTATCTATCTATCTATCTATGTCTGTCTATTCATATCTGTCTGCATTGATTCTTATTCCCTATTAAATTTCATCTATTCAACTCTACTCTCACCTTCACAAGATCTATACCCACCGATTCTGCCGATATCCTCCACCCAGAGATCTCTCGTCAATGTAATTCTATTTCGCTCTCTAAATCATTATTAATGACTGCCGCAGAACTTCTTAATGGAAATTAAATTTCCAATTCGAAGACTTGAGCTTGGTAAGCCAGGAAGTGTCGACGATTAATCTCTCCAGATTTCAGAAGATCCCGCCCAATTGCAAATCGGACTCGCTGTCATGAACTCAGCTCAAAGGTTGGAGTATTAGACTGGCGATTGAATGACTAAAATTTATTTGTAATGATTTAATCTTTCGAAGGAAAAATCCGGTCTTTATAATAGTATGTCATTCGCAGACAGTAGTGTTTCGCTGTATCACAGCTCCTCAGTGCGACTAGACATCCGAATACTTCAAGCTCGGATCGAAACCCAACCGATCAGTCACAGTTTCTACCACTGAGCTATCTTCATTCAACAGAGAGAAACAACTAAATCTAGCGTATTGTTTTTAAGAATGTAAACAAATGCCAATCAGCCGGAGTGCTCCAATTCATTTTACTGAAGAGCTTTGCATTGACGCAGGTGGCTGTTGTTTACAGAATTAGCTTATCACTCAAGAGTGCTCAATTGAAATATATTTTCAAGAGATATGAAACATTTAAACTATTAGAAATATGTTTTTTTAAGCAAAGCGGGAGTGCCACTATCAGTCAAGGGGTTACAGAGAGTGAAAGTAAGAGTAAAGAGGGAGAGGGTTACAGAGAGTGAAAGTAAGAGTAAAGAGGGAGAGGGTTACAGAGAGTGAAAGTAAGAGTAAACAGGAGGGGTTACAGAGAGTGAAAGTAAGAGTAAAGAGGGAGAGGGTTACAGAGAGTGAAAGTAAGAGTAAAGAGGCGTGTTTGAGAAAAGGATAAAGAGAAGGTCAGGGGTCATGATGAAGACATCAGAAGATGTCGATTGACATTACATTTGAATATTTGAAGATTATAGTTATCAGGGAAGCAAGTAAGAGGAAGGGAGTTCTACTGTCGGAAGTGCGAGAGAAGAAGCTGTTGGAGTAGAAGAGGCGGTTACATTTAACCGTTTCGACAGTGAAAAAGTGGGACTGAGATGCCAACCTAGTAGGACGCTTAAATTCATGCAGTTTGGGTACCAGTGAAAGTAGCTCGTCAGAGCAGGTGCCATGAAAATATTTGTAGAAAAGACAGGGGGAAGTCAGAGCACGTCTGTAAGAAAGTGACTGTATACGAAATGCCAGATCAGGACCTATCATATTGCATATCCGTCTCTGGATTTTGTTGTGGACCTCGAGATGAACAGGGAGTGCACTAGGCCATATATAGAAGCAGTATTCAATGTAAATATGAATGTTTGATTTGTAGATTTGAAGGATGGATTTAGGCGAGAAAAACCTTCTGGCGCGACACAGAGAACCAAATTTTCTTGCGGTAGATGAAGCTATTGACCCAATGTAGTTGTTCCACCTGAAGTCAGCGGAAAGCGTGAGACAAAGCAGGCGCAGAAAGACGCTCTCGTGGAGTCGGGTATCAGCCATTCTGATAGGAGGCAGGGAAGGGATTCTTTATGGGGGTAAATGAGAACAGTTTCGTTTTGGGGGCATTAAAGTTTACAAGCCATTACCTGCCCCAGTAAACTACAGTTTGGGGTCCCTTTTCGAGACCAACGGCCAGGGTTAGTTGTTGTCAGCAATGACAGATTTATTATTGAGGCAGGAGCAAATAGTAGTGTCGTCTGAGTAGATGTCTACTTGGGAACTGATGGCGCCCTATATTTAATTATAACCCACGGTAATAAAAATATTATCTTTCAATATATATCATATATTTTTCAACATAGTGATTACTCAGATTTAAATGTCAAATATTTAAAAATTAAACTGAAATAAAATAAAGGCATAGTAAATTAAATTTATTAATGGTTTTGTGTCATTATTTGAGTTTTATTTAAATAATTTTGAAAGCGTTTTAGTTGGATACATTGCATTCGGAATAAATTCATAAAAATATCGTTTTTTCTTCTTTTTATTGATTGATTCATTTTCTACAATTTTTCAACTCTTTGCAGGTACATAGGACATGTAACAATTTTATGGGACTTTACTATACACACAGAAAGAACAAGCAAATCTAATCGGCCAGACATCAAAGACCATAAAAACAAAATATGCCTTCTTATTGAGATGGTCGTCACTGCAGATTGTAATGTATCTTTCAAAGTCCTAAAAAATATCAATATACAAGGATCTTTAAGTGGAAATCTCAGAAATTTGGCACACGAGAACATCAATAATTCCATTCACAATTGGAGCTCTCGGTTTGATTGGAAAAGGCCCCGAAAAACTCATTGCCGGGATGTTTGGTAGTCCAAACCTTAAAGAAAATACAAAAAATTGTACTCACATGTATAGCTGACACTTTAAGATGGACTTGATCTATGTAGAATGCGTGTGATCTTATTTCTTTCCCCAGAATGCTCAGTGGAATATCTCATTATGACGTTTTTGGCCGTCGGTCTCTGGTCTCAACAAACAACAACAACAACAACAACAACAATAATAATAATAATAATAATTAGATGTAACAGATATTCAAGACGACAAATACCACCCCTCCCACCACTGCAGCAAAGAAAAATAAGTTACTAGTGAAAGCTGCTTATATGAAGACTCTTGAACCAAAATGGACATCTAAACGTTTATATGTAAAGTATTCAAAACGTCTGGATGAACGAGACATCGATGTTCGCCAAATCCATCAATGGCTTAGAAGCTGTGGTTTTAAAGGGAAGACATAAAAAATATTATAGCAACACAAAAGCAATGTCTTCGAAATAATACCCACAAGCCTAAGATCAAGAAAAATTGCTCAAATCCCGCCTGTCTTTTATGCCATAACTTTAATGAAACTGTTGATCACATAGTATAAGGATGGCCAGTCCTTGTTGAGTAGGTATACATGATTATATACAACAGGCTATGACAATATGTCCATTGGCATATATATTTGAATTATGGTATTGAATCCACGGATACATGGTACAAACATCCCCCGAATGACGCCACAAATGGTAATGGAGTGAAAATACTATGGAATTTCTCAATCCTCACAGACAGGAAAATCCATGCGAATAGTCCAGACCTAATCATAAAAGATTTCAAAAAAAGGAATCTGCCAAGTAATTGATATGACTTGCCCACGGGATTCCAATGTCCCCCCACCAAAAAAAAAAAAAAAAATTTAAAAACTGTCAATTTATTAGGACCTGCAAATCGAAGTAACAAAAATGGAGAAACTTAAAACTACGATTATCTCTGTTGAGAACATCTGTATATGAATTTCTGAGACACATGGCCCAGTGGATAAAGACGTTGGTTAGATCTAAATTTGGATCTAACCAGGCAGTGAATACGTCAGTAGTGAACCAAAAACACTTGGAGATTTGAGTTAAAAAGAAATAACGGAAGAGACATGACACGTGGAACTAGAACAATGTATCCTGGTGGACGAAATAAATTGGTTTAGTTCGAAATTCCTATAACTTAAAAATGACCGGAGCGTACAACGGCCGAAACGTTGTAAATATGGCAATGAAAATGAGGATAACAGTCCGAATAATGTAAATAATCTAAATAATCATAATACCTCATCTCAGAGCTATAGACAGGTAAATGATTTTATCAGTAGAATTCTATAAGTCTTTGAGAAACATTCATTTAAAGAGAGTGACTGTTTTGAAGATTTTTTCTAAAATTCATACTTGCGTATGTAATATTCTTTGGCCAACTTGGAAGTTTTTAATGACCTTTTTTGGGGGCTAAACTAAGTGTAGAGGTGGTAACCACAAAACAATAAACAAAGTACCGTTTTTGTTTATTTGGAAACAAAATAAGACGTCATTATTTGTCTTAGAAAAATATGCATTTTGTTTTCTGTTCTTTAATTTTATATACTTTTTTTTCTCTCTCGGAAGTTTTTTTTGTGTATTCGCTAAAAAAAGAAGACAAAAATAAAAAAAAAAAAAAAACGACCCTCGACTCCGGAAAGCAACAACACCAAAAAATAAATAAACAAAGAAAAGTTAAAAAATAAAAACAACCCCAAAACAAAATAAAAACAGAAACAGTAAAGACTGGGTTGTAGATAATGGCGTGAATGTTTTAAACACGTAAACAAATCTTAAATTACCTTTTCGTTAGGCATAATGCTTTTTGCCAACCTTTCTGCAGACATACGTCATCAATGAAAATAAAAATGATTCCTGCAATTCTTCTACTCTTTTTTTCGACGGCGTTTTTGTTGTTCTATTGTTTTTCTTCTCCCCCTTCTTCTTCTTTTTTTAACTCTTCTGGTTCTTATCTTTCATATTCTTCTTTGCTCTTTTCGTCTTCTTCTTCTTCTTCTTCATTTTTTAAGTCGTCTTCTTCATCGCTTTTTGTTTCATTTTTTCGCTTTTTGTTTCTCCTTCTTTTTCTTCTCTTTTTGTTTTTTCTTCAGTTTGTTTCTTTTTCTTCATTTTTGTTTCTTTTTCTTCTGTTTTTCTTTCTTTGCTTTTTGTTTCTTCTTTTTTTTCTTTATCTTCTTCTTCTTCTCTTTTTGTTTCTTCTTTGTTTTTGTTTCTTTTTTCTATTTTTGTTTCTTCTTCTTCATGATTTTATTCATATTCTTTTACTTTTCCTTTTGTTTTGATTTTTCATCGAATTCTTGCCTTTTCTCTTTGATCTTCTTCTTTTCTTTCTATGTCTTGTTGTTCTTCTTCTTCATCATAGATTTCTTCTTCTTCTTTTGTCCCATTGCTTCGGCAACATTCCCCAGATGATGTTGTCATTCTTATCCTTCCTCTGCTTTTTTATAGCTTTTCTTCTTCTTATCCGTCATCTTTCTTTCTTTCTTTCTTTCTTTCTTTCTTTCTTTCTTTCTTTCTTCTTTTTTTCCTTCTAACTCATGTTGTTGTTCATCTTCTTGTTAGTCTGCTTCTTTTTTGTAGGCGTTATATTTAACTTTCTTCTTTACTCCTTTTTCTTCTTCCTCTATTTCTTCTTGTTACTGATAATATTTTTGCAATAATAATAATAATAATAATAATAATAATAGACGACATTGGGAAATGTGCAAATGTAGTTGTTCTGGGGCAGAAATAATAAATTACAATAATAATAACCATATTAACAGTTTTGCATCCCTCCCCCCAAAAAAAACTCGTCAAAAATGAATAAGACAATCTAGAGATTTCCACTGAAAAAATTTTTATTTTTATTTTTCCGTCTCTGTTGACAAAAAAAAAAAATCGATTTTTACTTATTAACAATTACTAAGAAATATGTTTTATTTCTGTTAAATCGTGGGGGGGGGGCATTCAATTAAGTGCCATACGCTATCCACACTCAGGAGATCATGTCTTTTTCGATTAATGACTGACTAGGCAGAAGAATTTCTCGTAATAGGTTGCCTTTTCTTTCTGCGGTAGACTGGTTACCAACCAAGGTTGTCTGTCTTGCTATTTACCCATACTTTGGGGGGGGGAGATGGATCCACACCTTCAAGGGAAGTCATAATTAAAGGAAATTAGCATATAAGTGAATGGAATGAACTCAACTGGAATTCGAACTCGACTCTCCAATTCCTCAATCCAAGCCGCTATCCATTATTCCACAGTGCCTCCATTGATTAAAAAAAATGTTTAAAACATGTTTTTCATACATCATAATTTTCCCTTTTGTTTCTCTTGCGAACATGCAATGGAACTTTCCCAGTTTTTGTGTATATCGACGCAAACGCGAACCGAGACACCGTTGGTGGTGATTTGACCGATGGGCGAAAGACGGAGAGCGAGGCGTCTGTCAACGAAATAAGTTCAGTTGTCTAATATATATATATAACACCTGAATGTTTTCGGTGTTCAAGGGTTGAGCCATATAAACAGATTTCTTGATAAAATGCTGACTCAATTAAAAAAGTATCTCTTGTATTATCCACGAACATAGATGAAGAAGTGCATAGCCTGATGCAATTCAGAACATGAAAATTCTCGGTGTAGAATGTGCGATTTATATGATCTATGGATTAAATGCAATGACAGGAGATTATGTTCCACCTTTTTAAAATAAACACCCGTTTCATAATTAGATCACCTACTTGTTTTCGTGTCCAGCCGTCTGCTAGACAATCTCTGTTGTAGACGACTATTCAGGCACATCTTATTCAACACCTACAGAGTCTATCTATGGCTTATATTGCAACTATACTGAACAGAGCTTAGTTAAGGTTTCTGGGAGAGCAGGCATAATCTGGCGTGATAAGCAGTTTGAACGAGGCCAGTGATCTCAAAACCTCCTGTCACGATGATTTGCGACTTCGTGTAACTTACCATTGATGTCCTCCGAACAGGTTTCGGTCAATACTACTATGGTCTTCAGACATTTTCTTGGGATCGTCTCCCTGATCGATAACAAAAAGAAGTCCCCTTTCTGACAAACCGGGTCTTGGAAAGTGAACGCTGAAACCACTTTGCCACATGCCAACACGCACATACATACAAGCGTGTGTGTCGAAGTTGACAATCGCTTAATTTTGACAGGAGACAACAAAAATATAACTTTCTGATCATTGAGTGAAATCAAAAGGTTGAATTTAAATTCAAGCAATGCGTTGACAAAAGAACGAAAAGTCAAATATTTTAGTCTAAAAAAAATTGGAATAATTATTTTTAACAAAAGACAAAAACAATCTTCCTCTTCTCAGATGCAGTAGAGTAAAATTGATATATAAATTACAGTCAGTCGCTAAAGAAAATAAGTCATATGAACGCTGTCAGTCTATGTATTTGTGCGTGGGTAGCTTACAAAATGAACAGTTAACTCTCTTTGGATGGACGACTTGTGTGTTCAGTGAGTGTGTGTATATATTTGTATATATGTGTATGGTTATGTGCGTGTGTGCGTGTGTGTGTGTGTGTGTGTGTGTGCGCGCGCGGGTGTGTTTGTGCGTCATGTTTGAGTTTACGGCTAGGAGAGACGAAAAAAAAAGGGATTCGACTCTGGTTCTACTGGTGGACACATTTTCTTATATTGACTTTGGTCGGATCAGATAAACTCTTTTTTGAGGGTCGTTCCGGCTTGTCAATAATTTTAAGGAAAGCGTTTCTTTTCAAAAGATAGCAACTTACCCGAATGTTGTCGGCTAAATACTTTGAAGTCCGAATTCGAGGCGTTTAGTTCGAGAGGAACTTTTATTATTGACTCAAAATGATTGTTTATTATATTTTAATTTCAAGTTGCTACATGTTCTTGAAAACCTAATTTTCTTTGGTTTAATGCTCTTCCTAATTAAGCGACCATTGATTTTCTTTTACATATAGGTACCTCCACAGAAACGCTATAACTAAGATTTAAAATAAATTAAAAAAAATCTTTTCTGAAGTTTTTATTTTAGTTTTAATTTTAAGCTGAGAGATGAAATTTAATATTTCTAATAAACAAAATACTTTTTCTCTATTTCGAAACTAATTTAAATTGATTAGAAGGAGTTTTCGTTTAAAAAATACTAAAATAGCTGATTTTGGCGCCATTTTAGCCGTCAGTCATCTTGAGGTAATTCTCTGTAATAAAAACCTATCAAAAGTAAAATATACTTTTCTTAAATTTTATTTGGAGACTATTAGCTGATTTGAAACAAATATTATTTACTTTTAGATTAGAATGTTGCAGAAACTCATCTTTTAACACGTAGGTAGTTGATTATTTATAATGTTGATAACTTGACTGACAGACAGAAGTTTAACTAATTTTTTCTACGGTGAAATATCTTTAAAAATTACTTGAGGAATATACATAAGTGTTTTTTGATATAATTTTTAACTACCGAGTAATCTTAAAATTTAGGAAAATATTCTCCGTAATTTTATGGACTTTTAGGCACTTTGGCTTTACATTTATTATAGTTATCCTCCTTATTTTGTGATAATCTCGTGTATTTTGTAAATAAATCCGTTTTTACAAAAAGATTCTAAATATTGGAGGTCGATGAATCGTAGTAAGCTTTTCTATTTATGATTAGTAAATATAGATTTTACTTAATAACAGTATGGTAAGAATTAATACAGAAATTTAAAAGATTTAGAACTTTATAAATTATTCTAATTAGGATAAAAAATGTAAACACTTTAAGGCAATAATGTTTACATTATATCTCATTTATAAAAGCAATTAAAAACTTTTCTAATGAAATAATGTCTTAGTTTTATTGCATTTTTTTATTTTACTATTCAAAGCACATTCTCGCTGAGGGTCTGTTTTACAAAAAAAAATAAAAAAAAAATAGAAAAAATATGATTTAAATTCCCCAAGGACTTCTGCTTATAATTAAGTGTTAGAAAATTTAATTTCTCAAAATTTCATTAAATTAAATAAGTGGTGTCTGATGTAAAAAATATTTTTACTAAGATTTTCTAAAAAAGAATTATTTCTAAAATAATTAGTTCATTTGTGAATAAGTCACGAAAATTTTGTTAAAACCCGACAATTATTTTATTTTTATAAGAATTTCCAAATCAATGATTTTCACCGCAAAAATGACACTAAAATTTCCTATACTAATCCCCCCACCCGCTGACGTAAGAAAAACGTTTTAACAAAAATTTCGAACTTCCTAAAAAGGCCAAAATAAAATTTAATAATCAAAAAATTCTTGGATCTTTCCTCTTAGTACTAACATGAAGATTTTGACGATCATTTTTTTTTTCATTATGGCATGCTCATTTTGTAGTGAATCAATGGAGCTGGACACATGTAACAGTACCATGACAGAGAACTTTAAAATATTCACCATTAATGACGTCGACGAGATCTCAATCGAAAAAGAAAAAAGTCTATAATCTTGAGAGGGGCGGTCAGATGTTTCGATCTCTGGTAAATCTGACTTGACCCCCGTACCGAGTCACTGACCTGGCAGACGAAATTGAATTCACAGCTTTTGTCGATACAGTTTCCTTTCATCTCCTTTTATGATAAAATCGTCGCAGGCCAGCGCCTCCGATATGATCTTTAACCTTCGGCAGGATTGATTATGCTGTGTCATCGTTCGTAAGAAGGAGACACGCCATATTGGGTTTGTTCTTTCTGTTTTTCCGCTATCGAACATTTGATGACATAAGAAAGAACCATAGTCCTTTGGCAACATCTGCTACTGAAAAAGAAAAGTTATAAGATCGATATCGATTTTTCTCTGTATCTGCAATCAAATGTAAAAAAAAAAAAAAAATAAACAGCCGAGAGGAAAGGGTATTGGATAAGTTACTATGATGTTTTTGGTATTGTTTTCTTTTTTTAAGTCGAGAACGCTTTTGCGCAAATTAGATGCTGGGTGCTTAACATTCATCAAGTTTGCTTATGCTCTCGTCCTATTAATACTTTTAGAAAAAGCATGAATCAACTTGTCCCTACTTTATTACTATCGTTCGACGCCTTGATAAAACGTCTCATAATTGACGCGTCACACTAACTGACGGACGTAACGTTTCAGCTACACACACTCACACACGTCTTTGTCAGCTGCCAACCAGGGAGGTAACACATTTTCGGTGGCTAAGGTGGTACTGCTACCCCTGGCGCCATCAGAAGGTTTTGCCACCGGATAGGGTATATTTTCTTATGTAGACGTGTCTGTCTCTGCGATTTTTATGCAACTGTAAGTTAGATTTTCAATGATGTGTTATATATATATATATATATATATATATATATATATATATATATATATATATATATATATATATATTTATTTATTCGAAAATTATAACATAAATATCTTATAAAATCACTACATAAATAGCCATTTTGTTTCAACACATCTAGTGTTTTATCACCATCACTTGATAAATTGGCTTTGTCTTTCCGTCAACCTGTTTGCTGGCCTGGTCATAGTTTTGTTTGAAACACGAGGTTGTTTGTTTGGTATGCGTGGATAAAATTGGCGTACAAGATTTAATAGAAGCAGCGTTGTAGTGAATTTGAGCTAATATAGAATTTCTACCGAGTGTCGAATGCATGTTTAAGAAAATTTGCTATTATTGTCGATTGAATATCGCACTTGCAAATTCTTAGTTGCGTTGTTGCAAAGATAAAGGACAGTGAGTCGCCTTTTGTGGTAGAAAATAAAGGCCAGTGAGTCGCCTTTAGTGGTTTGGTTCACACTTTATCCATTTCAGTCCAGAAGAAAAGAGTGTTAGTAGAAAATGGCGTTGCATTTTCCGTTTGGTACGCTGGGTGAAATTAGGTCAAACATCGCCGCGAGAAAGAAAGGGTCAAGCAGTGGGGAAAGAGTTCTAAGGCTCGTCTCATAGTAGTAATTGTGGTTCTTCTAGTGGCGATTAAGGCTTCCGTGATTTCTACGTGTTGAAAATTCTTTTTGCTGCGCAGGAGAAAATTGCTTTGTAGACCTGTTGTAGTGAATTAAAATTGTGATTTTATACTTTCATCTGTTTAATCATAAATTTTTGTTGCTGTATAAAAGGTTCTTTCGTTAAGTGTACGGCGTGCGTAGGACACGAACAGAAGTTTTTTCAATGTTTTTCCTATCTGGCTCTCTTTTGGGAAAGTGTGTGTAAATGTGTGTTGTACATATATATATATCGTCCTGTGTGTTGAAAGATATATCACGTCGGGAAGTCACCATTATGAAAGGGGACCGTGGCGGTGATTTGTATGTAGAAGACATGTGAGTTAAGATTTCCTGATAGCCGGTCCAACTACATGAGAAAGTTGGACTTTAATTAAGTCCAAAGAAGACAAAGAAAACCAACAAGACCGATAAATATATGTAAACAAATATATGTATTAACAACAACTACAAGTTACAAGCACATGGACAGTTACACTGAGTGCGTGTGGTGAATATCATGTGTTTGTGTGTGTGTGTTGTGGTGAGTGTTCGTACGTACGTGTATTGTTCTTAGCGTGTTCCCAGAATTTGGGAAACGCTGCACCTGTGAGAGCTCACATCTGCGAAGTGGTATAAGACCGAAGGCCTGAGGAAAAAAGATCGAGGCGAAGGGTCAGCCAGTGTTTATAGCCAGGGAGAGAGACCCTGGTGAAG